CCTTTCAAGCACATTGCCTTATTCCGCTGTGTTATTCCTAGTGGCTTCTGTTCTATTCTGTACCGGTACGTGTTCTATTTGATCTGTCATTATTCTGCTGCTACTTCAGCAAATCTGCGCTGTCTTCTCCAAGGATAATACTGCAGGTAAGCGAGTCAACACCAGTCCTCTCGAGATTCACACCGGTTGTTGTGGGCTTGCATCGACACAACCCTGGTGTGAGTTTTAAGAGGGAGACTGAAGCGAACTTTTGAGAACGAAAACATCGTTCTCCGCTTTTCTTTCATATGCAAGCCTATTCTTTATTCATTTTTGCTGAGATATTTAGTTAGGTAGCTATTTTTACTTATGAATTGTCAGCTGTATTTGTGAGTGTGATCGATAAGGATTGTCCTCAGTTATTGGGTTGACATTCTTTTCATTTCTTCGTGGTAATCCTAGCTTAATGCAGCATAGGCAACCCTTGTGGTGATTCGTGTCCGTATGAGAGACTAGGGGTGCCTTCTAGAGCTTTCTTGTGGTCATTATTTATCAATTTTTAAAACGGGATAAAGTACGGAATAGGTAAGGTTCAAATGGCAGCAAAATCAACAATAAATCACAACGAGGTTATCATCATCGATTACATACGATTACGCATAAGGAGAGTATGAGGATAACTTCAATTACATGATAGCAGAATCGTCATTTTCATTGTAGATGAGTAGCAACAACTTCTTCGTCATTGTGTTCACTCTTCGTTTCCTTCTTCTGAGGGCGACTCCCTTAATCGTCTAACCTCTTCGTGAAGGTCTTCGACGGGCTTCTTTGATTTTTTCACCTTTCCACGCTGAAAGTGTCACTCTCCGAATAATGCCCAAGATTACGTTTCATTTATAAAAAGAAGCACCTGGTACAGCTGGATTTTGGTCAACTGCGGCTTGCCCCCAGTCTGAGCCAGCTCAGGACGGACGGCAAGGGTGCTTGACGATGGAGGCTGTGCAACTCCTGCTGCGAGTTGCATATGGCACAGAATCTCCTCCAGTTGTTCCATTGCTTCATCTGTGTCAAGCCTAGCCAGCGATGTGGCGGTGGCTTCTACCACAGCATATGTCTAGAAAGAAGTTTAATTTTTCCTATCTACTGTCGGTCACCCTATCTTATGGACACCTACACTTTTGATAGCACTGAGCTTGTGGTAACGCGCTTCACGGCGCTCCTGTGCTGATATAGTGGGTTCATCAAGGTGGGGCTCCGAAGGTGAAGGAGCCATTCCCTCCGTCGACGTTGTTGGTCTTTCCAGAGACAATCCGTCAGGACTCACTATTATAACAGCGTGCCTATGAGGACAACTTATGCCACTTCTGTTATCCGGGCATGTGCAGCTCCACGCATATGCGCAAACACCACAAGTGAGACAGTGGATGTTGTTCTGAGAAAATAGATTAATAACTCATGAGTAAGAACCAGTAAATAGTGGAATTACCGTTGTGTGACATGAGCATGGCCCTTCGTATGTCACCTCGAAACTTTTTGTGCCTGTTCTGTTCTTCACCTCCCACTTATATTCCGCAATGTTGACCACCTTCTCAGGGTTTGTGGCATAGAGAGCTGCTGCGGCTCTATGCCGCTTATGGGTCTCTTGCAGTCTAAATGCGGAATCGGCTAATCGACGGCGATCCTACAATAACGAATTATATGATATTTCCAACGACTCAATCTCTGGTAACTTCACCTTCACTTCCAGAGATTCCGAAAGATCCTCAACTGATTTGATCAAAAGGTCTACGAAACCGTCGAGCCGAGAATTAGCGTTTCGGTGAAGAAACTCATCCTTGATCCTCAAGTGAAATCTCTCACTTATCATGGTGGTTTCGAGAACGGCACCTCTATGAGCGAACGAGGCCCAGCTCGGCGTTCTTCCTAATATATAACACATTAGAAAGTTACATATTTTTCAAAAGTCATAACATTTTCGGATACCAAGGTAGTTCTTTTCGAGGTATTCCGCCATTAGCTTCTGATCAAATCTGCGAAGGTAAGCTAGGATTTCTCCGAAACGCATTTGGAACCGTTCTAGCTGCACTTCTTTAAGGAGACCTTGGAGTGCACCGTTGACCTTCGGGCGCATTGAAGCCTAAATATTTGCATTGGTATTACTTTCGATTTTCAAACAGCAATTCCATTGACCTCAACGAGTTCCTTCGTTTTCCTTTCCCATGTTTGCAAAATGTGGAACCGACAGAAACGTAGGCGTGTGTGTGCTCCTGGGAAAACGGCGCGGAAGCCGTTGTAGAAGCATGGTGCTTCATCTGTCACCATCGTTGCGGGCGAAAAATCAGGCAACAAATTTTTTACTTCGATGAACAACCTCTGGACATCAACTGTAGTCATTGTCCCACTGAGAAGAAAAGCTAAAAAAGCTTTTCCATGAAGAAGCTGATATTTATAGTTCTTCATATCGACATACCTCCGGGAAGACCACGGTCTTTATCATCTGTGATCATCAGGGTGGCCAATCTTAAGTTGTACCTGGTTGTGTGAAATGTGTCATCTAGCGACACACCCTTTGACGAATATTATTTTGCTAGCCATTGCAGAGCATTAGTGGCGTTATTATCACTGAATTATATACATTTTGCTTAAGAATTTCTTCAATAATATGTCCTCAAAGCAATCTTTAGGCAAAATTAAGCTAAATCGAATTCAAAAACTGTCACGGTAAAGAGTGGATATTGCCAAAAGAGATTCCCCCTTTTTTCGCTGATGTAGCCTACTGGTCCCAAAATAGCTAATCTTCTCACCCATTAAGAAACCTTTCCCACTCGGATCTTCAGGCAGTTGCAAGCACCTGATCCCATCATCAGGATTTTTTTCCTCGAAACGAAGGCGCAGAGAAGTGACATCATCATCGTGTCTCCATCCTGGTGCTAATTTGTACTTCGTTATTATGTTGTGGAGATCCTTCTTCACCACAAATGAGAGTTTAGAAGACTTCGTCGGGTCTTCTTTACGGAGACGATTGATGATATAGTCCAAAGAGTGCTCTGTTTTAAATAGCATTGGAGAATGAGCAGTGCAATACAATTAAAAACTACGTTACCTTCAAGCAGGTTTTTCAGATACATTTTTTGCTGATGTGAAAATCTCAGCAGAGCTGGGTCCAGCTCATGCCCTACATGACCGAGGCAGCCTTTGACATTAACCGTCCCATTTTCGAAGAAATTTACAACCAAGTGGCACGAACAATGGCGGACATCTTTTCTACTAGTAGCAGCTCTCTGTTTTGCAGTTGACGGTTGCGCACCAGCTCGGTTGCACCTAATTCAGAGAGCTCTATATACCTATCTACGTTTTTAGATGAACAGAAACTCACAAAAATCTCTCCCTAGTCGACGAAACCAAAACCTCTGTGTGCTCTTTCGAAAACGTTGTACAGGTCTCTTCACATATTCGCGTAAGCCAGAGCTAATAAAAAGAAATCTTATCTACTCAAAGTGATTGTTGAACTCACAAACCTCATACTCTTCACGAGATGTGAAAGTCTCTGAGAGTGTGGAGTAGTTCTGTGGTCGTCCATCCAGCGCCGTTTTCGGAGTGTGTTGTTTGGCAATGTTGTGCCAACTCAGCCAACAACACCCTCCTCTCGAGATTCACACCGGTTGTTGTGGACTTGCATCGACACAACCCTGGTGTGAGTTTCAAGAGGGAGACTGAAGCGAACTTTAGAGAACGAGAACATCTTTTTCGCTTTTCTTTCATGCAAGCCTATTCTTTATTCATTTTTGCTGAGATATTTAGTTAGGTAGCTATTTTTACTTATGAATTGTCAGCTGTATTTGTGAGTGTGATCGATAAGGATTGTCCTCAGTTATTGGGTTGACATTCTTTTCATTTCTTCGTGGTAATCCTAGCTTAATGCAGCATAGGCAACCCTTGTGGTGATTCGTGTCCGTATGAGAGACTAGGGTGCCTTCTAGAGCTTTCTTGTGGTCATTATTTATCAATTTTTAAAACGGGATAAAGTACGGAATAGGTAAGGTTCAAATGGCAGCAAAATCAACAATAAATCACAACGAGGTTATCATCATCGATTACATACGATTACGCATAAGGAGAGTATGAGGATAACTTCAATTACATGATAGCAGAATCGTCATTTTCATTGTAGATGAGTAGCAACAACTTCTTCGTCATTGTGTTCACTCTTCGTTTCCTTCTTCTGAGGGCGACTCCCTTAATCGTCTAACCTCTTCGTGAAGGTCTTCGACGGGCTTCTTTGATTTTTTCACCTTTCCACGCTGAAAGTGTCACTCTCCGAATAATGCCCAAGATTACGTTTCATTTATAAAAAGAAGCACCTGGTACAGCTGGATTTTGGTCAACTGCGGCTTGCCCCCAGTCTGAGCCAGCTCAGGACGGACGGCAAGGGTGCTTGACGATGGAGGCTGTGCAACTCCTGCTGCGAGTTGCATATGGCACAGAATCTCCTCCAGTTGTTCCATTGCTTCATCTGTGTCAAGCCTAGCCAGCGATGTGGCGGTGGCTTCTACCACAGCATATGTCTAGAAAGAAGTTTAATTTTTCCTATCTACTGTCGGTCACCCTATCTTATGGACACCTACACTTTTGATAGCACTGAGCTTGTGGTAACGCGCTTCACGGCGCTCCTGTGCTGATATAGTGGGTTCATCAAGGTGGGGTCACTCGCTTACCTGCAGTATTATCCTTGGAGAAGACAGCGCAGATTTGCTGTAAGTAATAGCAGAATAGCAACAGGCACAAAATAGGACACGTACCGGTACAGAATGGAACAGAAGCTACTAGGAATAACACAGCAGAATAAAGTAATGTGTCTCAAAGGCCGATTGGAAACGTGCCAGGCCGTCGCAACGTCAGTGCGCGCACATAATCCATTCAAATTTCCGCGCGCGGGAAGATAATTTCAAACTGAAGTACCTTGCGGGGAATAGCTGGGATCTTTCATCTCACTTCTTGGGTGTGGTTCACTAGGACATAAAGCGAATTTTCCGTTTTTCGCAGCGCGAAACTTTTTCGCTGCGGGAACCTCAGGTCCACCACTGATCATGGGTGGACCTGGGG